CGTGCCCCTTTGTGTAGCGCGTTTTGGCCTATTTCCCTGTCGGCCATCATTTACCTGAAGTAGATGGTGAGACATACCCTGTCCCACTTTCTTTTTTGCGAATGGTGATTTTAATTCCCCATTTGTTTTCTTTCTAATAAAACTTCCTCAGAAAAGCTTGTGTTAAAACATAATATTGCCTACTTCTTTTATTTTGCTGGGTCCTACAAAGGGTTAAAATTTTTTTCTTTTTTCAAGGACCAAGACGGGAGGGTGGGTTCATTACACAAGTAAATATCGTATTAGTCGGCAGTTTATTGATTTTCCAACAAGTTTACATAAGTAATTCGTTAGTCCAATCGGCCTGTAACTTCCTACTGAGGATGGATTTTTGCCCTACTTCAGTATAGGGATGACAATGGCCTCTTTCCAAGAGGAGGGGATGTTGTGGCAATACCAGATGGCATTGTACGAGAAAAGTAAGGTTTACAGTGTTTCCTGGAGTGAGTGCTTTTTTAACATGTCGTATACAATTCGGTCAGAACCTGGAGCAGATTCGTTGCAGCAATTCAGTGCTGCCTGTAGCTATGCTAAGTTGTATGGTTCATTATAGGCCTTATCTTTTGTAGATATTCCGTCTAGCCTTTTTCATTCCAATCTGGTTTTATATCTTTGGAAGGTGTCTGAACTGTGTGCAGAGCTGGATACATATTCGAAATGCACTCCCAGGGAGCCATACCTTGGTCTTCCAGGCTTTCCCCCTGGGCGTTCACTAAGGGTGTGAAATGCGTTCATACACCTTTGATTTTTTCACGCTCTTCCAGGCCTTATCCTCGTCTCTACTATAAGAATTTACACCCAATATGAACCTCCCCCAACTCTCCTTTCCAGCCTATCAGCGCCTACCATCCTTGAAATTCGACCTGCTTAAAACTGACAAGGTTTTCTGCTGTGAGGGAATCGCGCAGAAGGTCCCAGGCCTTATTTGTTTTTCTTCAAGCCTTGCCGCAGTCATCATTCCACCAGGGAACACAATGACTACTTGCAGTGCTAGACTCTGGTGTACATTTAGTGGCTGCATTAATAATAAAAGGAATAAAATACTCGACAGCAGTGTCAATGCTAAAACCAGACAAATCCACCCACAAGAGCTTAGCGAGGCTGTGGAATCCCAGTTGACTCTGTCAACACTCCACCATGTAACTTGAGGTGGAAAGTCATATTGATTTTGTGTTTTGAAAAGTACAAGGAAGTGGTCACTCCCATAAGGGTATTTAACCACTTCCCAGTTAAAATCAGGTAAAATGGATGGGGAGATGAGGCTAAGATCGATGGAGGAATATGTGTTGCTTGCAAAGCTAAAAAATGTGGATTCTTTTTTGTTAATCAGGCACGCACCAGTGGAAAAGGTAAAATTCTCAATGACTCCGCTTCACACGTCGATGCGAGAATCGTCTCACAGGCTACTGCAAGTGTTAAAATCACCGAGAACAAGGTAGGGCTCTGGCAACTCATCCGTAAGAGATTTGAATTAATGTTTGTGTAGCTGGTATTGTGGGAGTATGTCTATTGAGCAGATAGTAATGAGTTTGTTTGAAATTATAGCTCAGACGACTATTGACTCTAATGCCGTTAGGAGTAGAATGTGCTGGCACGCTACTTCTATGGAGTATATTTGCAACACCGCCAAATGATGCAAAAGTGCCCTGGCGGTCTTTGCAAAAAAACGACATATTGACGAAGCAAAATTGTGCGTTTTCAATTTAGGTGTGTCTCCTGCCCACACAGCACCTTTGGACAAAATTTTCCTAAGAGCTCTTGTATATCCTCGAGGTTGTGTACGAGTCCTTTAGCATTCCAATGTAGTATGTTCTCCATCTTGGATATGTGTATGTACTGTGTGTGTCTCTAAAGAGAAACGAGACTTATTTCGGAGAGCATTTGTCAGGCCTTCTGATTGGCGTTGTTTTTTGTTTTTTGTTTTGTTGTTGTTTTTGTTTTTTTAGTGGCTAAGAGGATCTTGGCGCTCCTTCGGCACAGCCTGCATCGGACGGTGGTGAACTTATGCAGGCTTCATCACGATGGACGAAGCGTTCGACCCCACCTGGCTGGAGGTCAATGAAACTTCTTTAGTTGGTGTGCTGCCCTGGCTGCTGCCAAGGTCCACAGGGCCCTTCAGTGGGGCTGTATTTAGGGAGGGCACTGCCTGAACACAGGAGGTTGCTCCCCCCATGGGGGCTGATGGAGTTTGCCTCGACACGCTAGGCATTGTCCAAGGCATCGCCGAAAGCCGTAGTGGTGCTGACCCCCAAGACATCACTTGAGCATATTATGTGGTCTCTGCAAAGTATGAGGAAACACACTGCCGCACTTCACGAAAGCTTATGTTCAGTTTGATTCTTGTTACGATTTCTTTCTCTATCTTCCGGGCCACACAGGACCTGGTATGCCCGATGGTCACCTTCACAATCGGCGCAGTGGAATTTGGATATGCATTCTTCATCAGCGGAGTGTCCATGGGTGGCACATTTGGCGCAGGCAAGCTGGCCTCGGCAACTCTGGGAGCCATGGCCGAACCTCTGGCACTTGAAGCAGCGCGGCAGGTTTGTGCAACGGAGGCGAACGAATGCATCAAGTCACGTCACACGTGAGACATGAACGCCATCTGGCAGTTTTCTTAGAAAACGCGTGGCTCTGAGACGGGTGTGCACGCCCATTTCAGAGGTGATAAAGTGTAGAACGCAAGGCGACGGGTAGGTGCCACCACTGTCTCGTCTTAGCAAAGCGTTGGAAACGCTCGCCTTTTCTTGCAAGCATTGCATGGTCAGCGCAACGTGATAAGCGCTACGGTCCTTAAAATTACTTATGTATGCCTTTTCTAGTAAAAAACGCACATGAAGAATATATACGTGTTGTTATGGTGCCCCAGACATGTGCAATAATTGCTTTTTACTTGACAATTACACAAGCATGAACGCTCAACCTTAAGCAACATTGATGGGCGCTGCGGATGGGGTCGGCCGTTTCAAATACCCGATGCCGTTAAGGGGGGAAGTGGCATTGAAAAAATACTTTTTAATTTGTTGACCTACAGCAATGAAATTTGTCATGCATACTCATAAGTGTCTCGAATAGGGAAATATGCAGTTTCATCGTGATAGCTTCAGTAGTTCTCAAGTTACATAATGCCATACGATCCAATTACATGGTCTGCTCGTGGAAAGCCTAGCGCTGCAACAAAACATGCCAGGAAGCTGCGAATGGTGTTGATCTTTACTCAAAAGAAAGCTACAGGGTATGGCACTCTCAGAATTTTTTAATAAGTTCTTTTTTTTTTTTTTTTTTAGAGATCATCATGGCTGCCGACACACATTGTCAGAAACAGTGGCACGGACAAATCATCCTCTAGAAAAATAACCGGGCCATAAAACAGAGATTGAAGATTGCTGTACCCACAAGCAGTGTTCAGGGATTCAGGAAAAAAAAACAGAATCAAAATCGGTCCAATCATTCCCATGCTACTCTTTCCACGAGCAATGCACAATGTTCAAAACACACTTGTGAGAAAAAGCCTGTCGAAGTTTTCGACGTGCTTTTTTCAACGAACTTTTTTGTTTCTCGTTGGATATTGATGAAAATTGGCACAGACACTAAGAATGACCTCATAGTGCTTCCATAAAAATTTTGAAGCGATACCACAAATACTTTACGAGAAACATATTTCTTCATTGAACCATGTGGAGGGACTGAGCATAATGTTAAAAAAGAAACAGTATTGAGAAAGCTGCGTTTAAAGTTTCAACTTTTCTTTACGTCTCTAAGACGCCTAAAACATCTGATCTAAGGTTTGTCTTGTGATATTTGACTTCTTTTCATGATTTACTCCTTTTCATGATTTTCAAAGAACAAGTATGGATTTCAAACCAAGTTCTTTGTATGAAGGAGTGGTGTGATAGGTATGACAGAAAAGATTGTAATTGAATAAAACCATATACTGATATTATTGCACATAGTTTTTTGTGCTGAAGTTGTAATTAGCGTAATTAAGTACTTGATTACAAATATTCACTGAACTTTTCTTTATTTGGAGAGAGGTTTATTGCATCAGAAAAATGGATCACACCATGACAGCCTAAGGCTTCTTTCCAAATAACAAAGTTATGGGCAGAAGACTGGTGGCACGGGAATTTCTAGCAGTGTAATTAGTGACACGAAACAGGCATATAAAAATTCTTGCCCCTGATTCATACATGCTGTTTCGCCGCTCTAGCTGTGAAACGCATCATCATACAGCCGGTCGCGGAAACTCTAATCTACAGCAATTCATTAACCTCGGAACATTCATAGACGTGCGTGGCGATATCAAGCACGGCTCCAAGCACGTGTGAATCGCATCACAAAAGCTTATTGACAGCACTCCATATGACCGTGGGGTGCGCGGCCGCGTGGACAGTGCAGCCGGCGCGTAATGCACTTGCCGGCGGCGTTCGATGCGCGAAATGTGCAACTACGAAGACAAAAAATCGGCACGCACTGCACTTGGCAATCAAGGGCCTCAAAACGACCTTCAAACATTTGCTTTTTGCTCGCTTGTTGTTAAATGGAGGAGCCAGCTGAGGCGGGAAAGTTAAACACGGAGAAATGCTCTTTCCGATGAGCCCAAGAAGCCGGCTCCCGGCCGAAGCATCGCGAAGCTATAATTTTTTGAAAAACGCCGTTTTCTCGCCATTTCCAGAAAACTTCTTGCTACCTAGGTGGGTGAAACGAATTTTCCGAAGCACTTCTGCGCGGTTTTCAGTGTAGATATTTTGGAATCAGATAGAAAAAGTGCTCCAGAAACTGAAAACTTGATTATCAAAAAATCGATTTTTTTTTTTTTTTGTCATTTTTCGCGATCCCAAAGCTGCGTCCCCCCTTAAGAGTGGACAAACAAACAAATGTGCAGACAGAGAGATCAAAATTTTTGCATCGAAGGTCCCCAAGAAAGACTATCGTCTTTAAAAGAGGAACAGTGCACTAACCTTTATCAAGATATCACGAGTACCCTGTGGTTTCATGTTGAAGTGGGCAATCTCAGGTGACAAGAATGTTGGGTTGATTGAATACATGCGTATACAAGTGTCCATAAGTTCTAAAGCCAGTTCCATGTGAGCTTGTGGCATTCCTCCAACAACATGGCCCAGCATGAGTGTCCCAGGGAAATAGCACACCAAGTGGTCCTGCAATTAGCAATACAATTACATCACAGTGGTAGCCAATGCACTCCCTAGTCTTATCTACAAACATGACTCCAATCTTCACCGCAGTTTAGTGCAGCTCTTTTTCGTGCCTTTTCTTACAACCACAGTTTTCCCTTATAGAGGCCCTGCAACATCTTTCTCAGTTCAATCAGAATGACCTTGCTATTCGACCCTGTCCCATGAATTTCCTGCCCCAAAAATTATTAAAATCTGTGAGGTAGAGTTTTGAGGCGCATCGAGCCTTCCCTTTTTTGTGTTCATTGTCATGAGTGCACTGGAGGCTACATTGGGGGATAATGGCAAGGGGGTGATGAGACACCCAAAGGTTGCACCGCTGCACACGGTCTTGCCCTCTCCCGCTTTTATTGCGATAGCAATCATATGAAAAATCTCGACTGGGTTTTGCTGTCACCGTCGCCACCGCCGTCATTCACGTATAAATATATACAGCCGAGCGCACATATAACAGCACCACGGGGGGGAGGTGGCATTGAAAAAAAAAACTTTTTCATTTGTTGACCTACAGCAATGAAATTCGGCATGCATACTCATAAGTGTCTCGAATAGGGAAATATGCAGTTTCATCATGATAGCTTTAGTAGTTCTCAAGTTACATAATGCTACATGATCCAATTACATGGTCTGCTCGTGGAAAGCCTAGCGCTGCAACAAAACATGCCAGGAAGCTGCGAATAGTGTTGATCTTTACTTAAAAGAAAGCTACAGGGTGTGGCACTCTCAGAATTCTTTAATAAGGTCTCTCTATTTTTAGAGGTCATCATGGCTGCCGACACACATTGTCAGAAACAGTGGCACGGACAAATCATCGTCTAGAAAAATAACAGGGCCATAAAAGAGAAATTGAAGATTGCTGTACCCACAAGCAGTGTTCAGGGATTCAGAAAAAAAAACAGAATCAAAATCGGTCCAGTCATTCCCATGCTACTCTTTCCACGAGCAATGCACAATGTCCAAAACACACTTGTGAGAAAAAGCCGGTCGAAGTTTTTGACAGGCTTTTCTCAATGAACTTTTTTGTTTCTCGTTGGATATTGATGAAAATTGGCACAGACACTAAGAATGACCTCACGGTGCTTCCATAAAAAGTTTGAAGCGATACCACAAATACTTTACGAGAAACACATTATTTCATTGAACCATGTAGAGGGGCTGAGCATAATGTCAAAAAAACGGTATTGAGAAAGCTGCGTTTAAAGTTTCAACTTTTCTTCATTTCTCTAGGACACCTAGGAGACGCGGCGTTTCAGCGTGCGCGTGAGACGCATGACACGTCGGCTCCGTCGGAAATCGACGAATGTTGTGGACTTTTGGCAAATATCTACCAGAAACTGGTTTCAGCGTTTCGGCGAAGCCATCAGGAACCTCTGGATACCTATTTTATCCAGGTAGGCCCATTTCCCGCCAATCTACGACTGGTTGAACATCCCGCGACGCCCGAGCCCGGCTAAGCCTAACGCCGACGAGGCTTACGCCCGGGCTCCCCAGCCATGGCAGCGTCCACGAAGACAGGCTACGACCCCAGCACGGTGCAGTGGGTTGACATCGAGGTGGCAGAAACACGGGAAGACCCCATACCAGGTGAAGACGAATATCTTCAGATCATGGTTCGCCAACTGCAAGAGAAGCTCACTAAAATGAAGCCCCGAGGCTGGACGGCCGCCGCCCAGCCACAGGCTCGCAAAACAGGATTAACACCCGCAGCTTGCGTTGAGTCCCCGCGGCAGCTGGCGACGTGGAAGCCAACACACACGCCTCGAATCCGGTCGGACGAGTTGGTTATTGAGCTTAAACCCAAAATAACCATGGATCTGCACGCTGCGTTCGGCCCAGGCGGGATTGGCACAGCAGTGCAATGCTTCACCGGCAGCACCATGAATGCTGGTATCTCCGTGTGGCCGGTGTGGGACCAAAACATCGTTGTAAGTGTGAAAACGAAAAGCCTGGCCTTGAAGCTCATTGGGGACATCACGCTGACGATCGGGGACCGCCAGGTACCGTTTCAAGGACATTTGAAATCAGGCGGGGAAACCTTCAAGGGTGTCGTCACCGTCGCAGACAATTAAACTTCGGAATCCCTTCGACGTAAGTTCGAGTAGATCGACGGCGAAATTTTGTATGTGCAGAAACTCGGAACATCCAACATTGCAGTGGTGACCTTCAAAGAACGCCGCGTTCCAAGATTCATTCACTACTGCTGTGAAAACGTGCCAGTGCGCTACTACAAGAAAACGATTCCGGCATGTTACCGGTGTGGAACGGTGGGCCACAGACCGGATGCGTGCCCCAATCCGGACAATCAGCGGTGCATTCACTGTGGCGCGAAGGTGGAACTCGCTCTGGAGGGCCCAGCGAAGCACGACTGTCAACCCGAGTGCCTTATATGCGGTGAAAACCATTTCACCGGCTCTGCGCAGTGCGTCGAAAAATTCCGGAAGGCATGAAAGCCCGCTCTACCACAGTGGCAACATGGACTAAAAAACAAGCAAGAAGAGCCCTCAGCACCTCTCAGGACTGACGAAAAAGCGAAGCCCATGCATAACAAGCCCAAGCCGATCAAAGCCCCAGCCGGACAGAAGTCGAGGCCGTCTACCTTCGGCGCCGAGGATTTCCCGTCACTGGCAAACCCGCCCAAACAGGTGAGCAATTGGGTAGGGGTCCCCTCTCAGTCTCCCACCACCACCACTGCCTCCCCCTCCAATCTTGAAATTTTAAAACAATTGGAAGCCATGAAAAAACGCATTGAAACTCTGGAACGCGAAAATCGGGCGCTGAAGGCATCGCAGGCTGCTACTCCTCCACCACCGTCGGAACCGGTGGCTATGCACACCTCCGACTGCTCGGACGATGAGCAGGACACTCAGTCAGACGTATCGGGTAACACTAGTGTGTCTAAAACTGTAGTAGGTGCTTCGAACGACATAGAAGGTCGACTAAGCAGACTAGAGGCTAAACTTGAGGAGCAGAGCAAAATTATCCTAGAACAAACCAAGCTTACAGTACAAGACATTATTCCGCAGCAGCTGAACCTATCAGTTCAAGCCGCTATGCAACACCTCAAGCAAAGCGTTTTGCCAATTCTCACAGCCAGTGTACTACAAACCATTCAAAATTGGCTCACACCCCAATTGGACCAACTCAAAACTAGCATTAAGACAACAGAACAACCCCGACGCAAAATTGTTCATCGTAACCTGGCAAATTCTGAATCCGAGAGCAACATAGCCCAGTTGTTAACAAACCAAACTGAGTCCAAACATAGCCCAGTCGTTAACAAACCAAACTGAGTCCCCCACGCCTCTCCAGGCTCCCACGCTGGCTGCAGTGGCGAAAATGACACCTCCTCAATAATAAATCCATGATGGCAGGCAGTTCTAAACACAATAATAAAAGCTCCAAACAACAGCAACTCGATAGTTTCCTGTGGAACTGCAGGGGGTTTAAAGATAAGAAAAAGAGGGCCACTCTTAACTTTTTCCTGCAAAATCAACATTTTACCCCTGCAGTTTTGGCGCTACAAGAAACCTGCTTACAGGCGAAATTGCCTGGTTACAACTCATTTCAGCGAAGTGCGTCCACCTGTGTTCTCGTACACAAGGAGTATACCGCTTGTCAGATAGACCTTGATCTGTCAGAGGCCCATGAATACACAATGGTCAATGTCCTTCCCAATAAAAGACGAGATCCTAGCTTGTACATTCTAAATGTATACAGTTCTCCAAAATCTAGGCAATGTGTCTTCAAGGAAATGTTTTATAAAGCGATTAAGGAAGCAGATAAGAACCCACTGGTGATTTTGGGTGACTTTAACGCCCCCAGCTATCATTGGGGTTACACCCGCGAAGTCCCCAAGGAACGGAAATTGCCAGAACTCATATCCACACTTCGTCTATCGCTTCCCACAGATCCAATGAAACCCACTAGAATTGGGAATTCTGTAAACCGAGATACTTGCCCGGATCTATCACTGACTAAGAACATTTCCTACGCAACATGAAAAAACTTAGAAGAAACGCTCGGCAGTGATCACTGTCTCCTCAGAATCACACTCTCCGGCAACACAGGCCGTAGAACATGGAGCCAAGCTAAGCTGACAGGTTGGACAGCCTTCCGCTCACAGGTGATCCCCTCTGTGCCAGGGGCGGGAGGATATACGGGATGGGGAAAACAGCTTCTTGCAGCCAATTCCAAGTGTCTTAAAACTATAAAGACAACGGAAGACACCCCCACCATCGATAAGTACCTGCTCCACCTTTGGGACGCCCGCAGAAGCTTAACTAAACGATGGCGGAAAAACAAATTCAACCGCAAGCTTAATCTTAGAATAGCCGAGTTGAGCAAGCAAGCGGATGAATATGCTGCACAACTGAACGAATCCAATTGGATAGAACGGTGCAATGTTGTAGCTAAAGAAATGAATACAAGGAAAGTGTGGCGCCTTTTTCGAACTCCCGTGGACCCCGCCCAAACCCGAGAAGAAGCGCAAAAGCAGCTCCGTCGAGCCCTGCATAGTTTTCAGGGAACCAACTCCCAGCTGGCTGATGATTTGTGTGCTAGATACCCATGTCGCACCACGGATCCCAACAGGAACGCATATGAATACGCAGGTAGAGAAAACAGTCAGCTCGATGCCCCTTTTGAAATGTGCGATCTGAAAGCACTGAAAAAAATGCGCAGGGGCACTGCCCCGGGCCGAGACCTGATCACGGTAAAACTGTTAGCAAATCTGTCAGACGATTCTTATCGGCATCTATTGCAGTACATTAACGCGATCTGGAATGGCCAACCACTGCCAACTGAATGGAAAACAGCAGTTGTCACATTCATCCCCAAACCAGGCAAGCGAATCAGCACGGACAACCTCAGACCTTTATCATTAACTTCATGTGCCGGCAAATTAATGGAAACAATGGTTAGAGACCGTCTCGCCACGTACCTCGAGAGCAAGGGGCATTTCGCAG